CCTGACTGTCGACTAATGGATAAAATGAAAAAGATTTTTAATTGATCAGCATGAAATGAGTTAAACTGGGGAAATTTCAGTAGTTTAAAAAGCTGCTTCTAAGTAGTCGTGGCCGAGTGGTTAAGGTGATGGACTAGAAATCTATTGGGAACTTCCCGTGTAGGTTTGAATCCTACGGACTACGACATCTTGTTTTGCTCCTTCCCTTATCATTATTTATGAGACATTTGTTAAGATTTATTCTAATTTTTATTACTAATTCGTAAGTATTTAATAATATGAAGGGCAATCCCCCAAAAAAGGTCTCCTATATTTTTAAATATACAAAGAACCATTTATTTTCTATAATTGCTACATCACTTTAAAGATTGAAGAATTCTTTATTTTTCAACATAATCGCCATTTCGGTCGATGCATTTTAGTAGACGCTGTGGCAGTTTTACAATTCCCATGTCATACCAGCTTGCCGCCATGCCCTTCAGGAAGTGTTGAGGAGCTTCAGGAGCATCCAGATGATCCTCTGATCTTTACACATTTTACGAACTCAACAATCGCGAAACTCAACGAATACGAACTCAACTTTTGCGATTGTCTCATCGGCAATTGACGGCCTCCCGCTCCTTTCTTCGTCATGAATTTCAGTACGACCGGCTGGAAACTCTCTACACCACTTGCGAACGTTTTTGACATCCATGCTCGACTGTCCATACACTTCCGTCAACAGGTGGTCAATTTCAACTGGTTTAACGCCTTTTGCGTTCAAAATCGAATAACTGCCCGCACTTCGCACCTGGCGGTAACGTTTATCGGGAGCTCCATTTCGAATGGTTGCCAAGCCAAGACTGAGCATCCGAGCAAAACGCCTGCGTGCTTATGTGGTAGCGGAAAAGGCACCACTCACAACAGTGTTGCCAACAACCGTATTAAAACTTTCTCTACATCCCCAAAAAATAGGAGACCTTTTTTTTGGGATTGCCCTCGTATATACATCCACAAGAAATTTAGAATCAAATTTAAAAAACAGGAAAGAAATTAAATTCAATATCAGCAAATTCCAAAATTCGCAATAAATTATAAATTTTCAATAAATATAAATATTTATTGATAATAAATTTAATTATATTTGCAGCTATTGCACAAGTATTAGAATAACTTGTTTTTGAACTAAGTGAATTTTAAGATCATACAATATTTTATATATATATATATATACACTTTTCACTAAGGTTTTATAATTTCACTTACATTTTAAATTCTATGGATAATGTTCTCTTTGTTTAAAGGCAGAATTTTAACTTGAATTTTTCCCTAAAGTATTTTATTATTTTACTTAGGTTTTCAATTCTCTTTATTTAAAGGTAAAAAAATTTTAATTAGAATTTACTTTGTTTTTTCCTTCCTTTGGGGAGGGGCCCGTTATTTTCGGGTGAACTGTTATAATTAAAATATATTGAAATGATTCGTTGGGTAATTCTGGATACAGAAAAGCAAGGATTTTTGTGGAAGAGAGATTTCAATTGATTTCAGTGTTTCTCCTCCTGACGAAAATGCACTGAAGTTGATTAAATTCCTCTTCTATTACATTCTTTTTCCTTTAAATTTCATTGATTTTTTGAATTTGGGTATTGCTTATTTAAAGTTTTTTTTTTTGTTTTAACATTTTTTAAATTCTTTTTTTGCATTTATAGGATTATTTGAAATTTATTACTTATGAATTTCAATTTTTGGTCTTTGTGAAAAATTTGGTTCTAAATTTCTTATTTTATGTCTTTACTGATAATGTTTCAGCTGTTTAGAGCACGAAAATACAGTACAAAGTCCGTAATCCGGACATCAATTATCCGGAATGATCTATAATCCAGACCTCAAAGGCCACAAACTTTTTTTTTGTAGCCTTTACACATGCGCATAAAGAATGCGCGCGCATACACTACGTGCATTACGCATGCGCGTAGTGTATGCTCTATGCATGCTCGTGTTGAAAGAAATGTTTAATAAAGTAAACAAATAAATATTAAGCTTTTTTTTGTAAAATTTGATACCCTTTAGATCATAATTGCTCTTTGTTTCATAAATTACGGTTTCATATTTTTAATTGTATAATTTCTGCATGCCGTCTTACCAGATTTAAATTGATGATCTATAATCCGGAATCGCTGAAGTCCCAACGAGTCCGGATTATGGACTTTTTACTGTACTAGGCATGTTATTAAATTATATTATGTTATTAAAATTATTTTGTAATTATATATACATATAATAAATATATTCCCATTAAATAATTGCTCCTCATCTTAAAAATAGACTTTTTAAGGAATCTCTGTAATATTTTACAATTTACTCTCTAATATTTTACAATTTAGGACACTTTATCTATATGGATTAAACTTTCAATCAATAATAAATATGACTTTTATGCTACAGTTTATGAGCAGTTTAGTCTTTTGAGCAAGAGAACGTAAAGAGGTACCAGATGAAAAACAAGAAAGTAATAACTTCTATAAATACTTTACTATAATAAAAATTCCATGATATATTTGAAAATCCTAATTTTAAGACACATATTTTTGACAACCTTTATTCATTCCCTCACAGGCATCTACTTATCATTCAAAATTTCTTCAGAAATAAGTTTACAGGAAATAGCCTTATTAAAAAGTCAGTACTTGGTCAAATTTAAATTTAATTATAATTCATCTAAGTATAAAATAATTTTCTGTAGCGGAAAAGGTTAAAAACTAATTAAATTTCATAAGCTGATCCGAAATGAAACTGGAATGACAAGCCTGGAACATAACCAAAATATATCAGCTCAAAACACTCAGTACTGTTTTCTGATATATCTGTGTGGTGGTTTCAGGCTGGTGAAATTAAATGCAAGACAGAAAAATGCTGATTGTACAACCTTATACATTTTCTCAGATTACAAGAAACCCTTCAAATTCTGAGTTAGCGTACCAATTTGATGTTTAGAAAAAAGGGATGCTAGGGAATCTTATCAGTTATTAGAAAATATTTGATTTAATCATTATTTTTATGCTCATACTTCGTTTTTTAATATTTTCAATCCACTGTTGTTTATAAAATTTACTCTGTTCTTATTAGTAATATGTTATCTTAGCTCTTGTCCTCTTAAAGTTTTAATTATTACAATAAGGTGCTTGGAAACTATTATCATACATATTGTGCTAGGAAAATAAAAGGATTCTTATTTCTACAATCATTTGAAACAGTGTATTATGCTGCACAAGGGCTGTTCTCACATGTTTTAAATGATTTTCCTTGCATTTACATAAATATTTTATCTAAAATGTTTGTGTTTTAAATGTTCTGTTTGATAATGCTTATTCTTTACTGTCTGTCTAAATCCTAATTTCAAAAACAATAGAGCCTTTTGTAGTATCAGAAGAGGTATTTTATTCCATTCCTCTTGAACAGCCTTCCAAAGTCCAAGAGTTAAGCTGTAGGTCATAGCTGGACAATCTGCTTTTTAAGAATCCAAAAGTGCAAAAATTCGTGGATGATACATTAAAACATTTAATAGGAATATGAGTGAAGAGCTTGATACGCTGGTCTGTTTTTTCCAGGAAATCAACAGTGGATTTTGACATGTGGCTGCTTTAACTTGATGCAGTTGTATTGTGCCTAAAGAGAAGGTCTTTCATATTTGAAAATTGGGTATCAGATATGTTCCTGATAATATGTGGAATTGATCTTAACAGTTTTCTCCACACTCTTATTTTTAATTTGCTGTTATATGAAAAACCAGCAACAATAATAGATCCCTTTGAAAAACTCTTTAGATTCTTTGAAATATGTTTTGAGATTTTTTTCTCTTCTTTGATGATAATAATGAATCATTTTTTATAGCAGTCATTTAAATACACCCAAGATTCATCCATTTTGACAAAATTTTTTGTTTGGATAAAT